GGGACTTTTCCTGGTTAAATAAAATTAAATGTTTAAATATATATATATCCATAAAAGAAAATAACCCCCCCCCTTACACATTGACGTCGGCCCCTTGCTCCAGCAGGTATCTGAGGCACGAGGAGGTGTTGGGAAAGCTCCGGGTGGACAGGACCATGTGAAGAGGCCGGCGACCCTGGTGATCGCTGCTGTTGACCCACCCAACCCTGGACCCCACAAGGATCTGAATGGAAGCCAGCTGTCCGTAAAGGCAGGCCACTTGGAGAGCTGATAGACCCTGAAAGATGAAACACAAACACAGGTTTACTCCCCAATATTACTCTCTACTACATATTAGTCCCTTTTATAACCTTTGCTTCAACCTACAAGACCTGAACTCGGCCTTTTTGTGACTTTTTGGCTTATCAGGGGAAGCAGAGAGGTAACTAATAACATTAACTATGACTGTATTTCATGTAAGTGCAGTTATTTATGCTTTCTGGGCTAACTGGGACCCTTAAATGGAGTGAAGCCACCATTAATGTGCTTCTAAAGTTAACTTTTAAGGTACTTTTGATTATTTCCATTTTGTGATGAGTGTGCGCTTTTAATGAAAAACACTTCAGAGGGAAATCTTGAAGGAGTAGTTACAGTAGTTACTTCACAGGTGATGGTTTATCTTTGTTCATTTTTAAGTGCATTTTAATTTTCACTTCACTTCGAGGCGCCCTTCTTCTCAGTGAGTACTTCTGTCACACTTTTATACTCAAATTGTGAGTGCTGACGTTTTACTAGTGGTGAAATGTAACTAATTACACATTGAGGGAAATATTGAACTTTTTACATGCGCGTTTATTTAATAACTAGTTTTTTTTTTGCAGATTCAGATTAATAATACAAATAAACAGATTATTATCAGGTAATTAAATTTAGCTCCACCTTAACCAGCTGCATCGATAATTATCATACAATAATATACATGATTAATTAATATACAATATTCTGAAATTAACATAATGAGTACTTTAACTTTTGGTATCAGTATGCTGGTTATACTTGTGTATTTCTACATTGAGGTAAGTTTGTATCACTTTTACTGAAGGAAAAATACTTCTTTCACAATCTGTATTGGTTCTGCACTACACTGGTTATATCACAGGAGTGGACAGCCATTATAAAACATATAATTCACAGGATTATAATGTAAATGAGCCAACCTGTCTGTTCACACTGATATCTAGTTTCCTCTCCGGGTGTCCAACAGCTGGAAACGTGTGTCCGTCCGGAGCTTTCCTGCTAACGTTTAAATGAAACCGTATTAAAAACCTGTAAAGGCTATTAGACACAAAAAAAAGATTTAAAGTGAAGCAACTTTACTCCTTAAAATGTAAAAACAAGTTACAAGCTAAACATTGCAGCTGAGTTCGCTACCCCACGTTAGCCACAGCGCAGCAACTAAAGGATGGTGGGTTTTTGGGTGAGTGTGCACATTAATGTAAAGTTCAAAACAAACAAACAACAGCTGACATTAACCTGACTGATGTATAAACACTGAAACAGAAAAAAAAAACAT